ACATTTGCAACCTTTTTGCCTTTGCAATTATCAGTGGTAGAACCTTTTTTTGTCCTCAGTAAAATACAGATGATTTTGGAAATGCACTCATTCCAGTTTCAATCTAGGGAAAACTACTTATATACTATGCCTATGTTTACAGGATACCAGTGTTTTGAAACATAATGCATTATTTTTGTTTCTTATATTCCATACTTAGAATTTGCTCAAACAGGCTATTAAAACTAATAATATAGGGTACTAAGTGAATATAACTGTGGAATCATATTGTGCTAGTATAATTAGTATAGTATAAGTAGTATAACACTGTTTGTTAATTATACTTCAATAAAAACTATTAAAAATCAATAAATAAACTAAGAGAATAGAGAAACTAGTAGGGACACAGACATCTCAAGAGATCTCGCCATTCCTTCCAACCCATGAAATTTGTCACTGAAATGAGGAGATGGAAATGGAGCCAGTGGGAATATGGATTCTTAGCTAAAAATTGTTTCTCTTCTTTTAAGAAGAGTCCTCAGTGGGCAAGAATATGGAAGTGTGCAGGACATATACTTGAGGTATCTAAGCATATGCTTTCCCTAGCAAACTCAATAAATAGATCCGTTTAAAGGAGATAAGGTCCATGCAACTGATTTTGCATATAAGTGATGTGTACATAGGCATATCCAAGTATTCTCAATCAGTTCTCAGTTACTAAACTGTTAAGCTGAATTGAATGATCATTCTCATGTATTAAGAAACATGTTACCTGATAAATGGACTGTCTTAAGAAGAAGAATGACAAAAACCTGCTTTTCCCAATACTTCCCATCGTGTGTCAGCTACTCTCCTTCCTATGATGTCCTCCCCTAAACTGGTCTCCAAGCATCTTTTCCACTCAGAGACTTTAGTAGATACTGTTGTTGTGAATGACTTTGATAAGCATTTATTCTACGTATTTTTACCCTAATGTAATTTTCAGATGATGGTCTCATGGGATCAAGCAGAAGGAATTACATGGAGAATCTCTATTTGACTCCATAGAGTAAAGAAAGAAAAGTTGTTTGGAAGGGTATCAGGTTGATAAGGTGTCCCTCTCTTAACCAAGTGGCCATGAGTCATGTTTCTGTAACAGAGGGCCAGAGTGTGACAAGTTCTAAAAGTTTGCTTGTTTGTTTGTTTTGGCAGCCAGCAATTGGCCACATTGATGTTTCAGGGTTACAGTGGATCCTCATGAAGTGGTGCAAATGCAGGACAGGAGGAGACAATTGTGCTCCAGGCTGTAAAATGAAGCCAGAGTAGAAGTTCCAGTAGTTGAGAATATGAAGAAGACAACCTGTGGTAGCAGGCACCCAGGGGATCCAGAAATCTATTCCCAGCCCCTACAGTCCTGAACTTTCAGGAATCTACCCCCTGTTCTCCTTTACTAAAATACCCTTCACAGGCACAACAATATCAAAAATGAATTTAGAAAGACAGTAAACATAATCTAGATGAAAGGACTTTATAGCCACAGCATGCTTGGGATCGAGCAGCAAAGAAGAGGGATGCGAAGAGGAAGAATTGTGAGAACTAACATAGTGTTAACTAATTTCTTAAATTTCCACTACAGAGAAATAGTAACATTTCACAGATTGTCTTCTCAACACCAATTTCACAAATGTAACTATTTTTGAAATTTTTCCTCTTGGTCCTTTTCCATGACAGTGAAGTCCAGAGGAGGACAGAGGAGCTGGAATTCGACTTCCAATTTCACCACACTCTAGGTCCTATTCTGAAGGGTCCAGACTCCTTTTGGAGTTCAGTCGGCTTCAGATTTTTTTCTGAAGGCTCTGGCAATCTCTACTTATATCTCATTGCCTCCAAACTTAGTACTCTGACTCACCTGGACTTTTTAAAATTTTAGTGGACTGCAGGGACTGTTATTTTTTTTTTTTTTTAGATTTTATTTATTTATTTGAGAGAGAGAGAATGAGAGACAGAGAGCATGAGAGGGAGGAGGGTCAGAGGGAGAAGCAGACTCCCTGCTGAGCAGGGAGCCCGATTCGGGACTCGATCCAGGGACTCCAGGATCATGACCTGAATCGAAGGCAGTCGCTTAACCAACTGAGCCACCCAGGCGCCCTGCATGGGCTGTTATTTTAATAATAATGATACAGTGAATAATTTCAAATTTTATTCTTAAATAACTATGAATTTTATTTCATTGACTTTTCTAAAACGTCTATAAGAATGTAAAAATTTCAAGTCAAATGGTCTTTAAAGTAGGGGGAAAAAACCCCATAGTATGCATATGTCTTTTAAAGAACAGAAATGTAACATTTGCTTTTAAAATGAATATACTTTCTGTCCTTCTAGAGTTTTGCTGGATGGTCTGCTACATTACAGGGAGTCTATCCACCACAGTCTTCATTTTCTTTTTTTGTTTTTCCCGAGGATTTCAAAATTAAAATTGGCATTGATCCACCAATTCATTCTTTTCTCTTTATTGGATGAGTGCACATAGTTGCTTTATCTAGATCTTACTTTTCAACATAAACCTTCAGCAGATTCTCTCATGTTTTATTGCTGAGTAAGCAGATGTGACTTTCATTTTTTCCTTTTCATTGAACAGTTACCTCATTTGAAATTTTTCACTTGGTTTAATTTAACTTTTTTTGATGGTAGATGCATCTGTTGCTATCTGTGTTTGGTTGTCATTTTAATGAGTTGCTAGAAGATGTGTCCACAAGAGTTGTGCATTTTCCTGTTTTCCTACTCTTCCTTTATTCTTTATTTCATCTACATTTATTTTCAAGAAATGGAATTGGTATATTATCATAGATTTGCCTTTTGCCTCTCCCAGATTTTCTTCCATAAGTAATTTCTTCCATAAGTAATTTCATTTATACTTTTGGAAACATTTTATGATTTAATTTTATATAAAACATCAAAACTCCTTTAGAAAATTTTCAGTTTTCCAAATGCATGCTGGCATAGGTTATTTAATAGTTATTACAAAATGATCTTTGGGGCAATAAATTTTGATATATAAGGATAATTCCCAAATGTAATTTAAAAGTGATGAACTAGTCTTTAATGGCCTAGAATTAATGTGCATTTATCATTTTAATCTTCATAAAATTTCAAGAAGACTATGTATTCATGATTACTTAACATAATTTTAAGCCCCAGTGCAAAATGAAAATGTAGGATCTCTTTATTCAAAAGTTACTAGGGACTCCAAAGAGGTCCTACAGTAAAAGGTGTGTGGGCCTTTCTAAGCAGATCAGATGCCCATGAGGCCGGCCCTGTGTGCATTTTTTTAGGCTCATCATTTAGTTTGCAAGCAAATCCTTAATTGAGAAAATAAACACTGAAGGACATTTTTACCAGAATGTTTTAAAAGTTATATAATATCAGAACTATAGAAATAAGATATAAAAAAAGATCACATATCCAACCTAAATTCAAACAATGGAATTCTTTTCTTTTTTTCTTCAAATTTTTATTTAAATTCTGGTAAGTTAACATACAGTGTAATATTTATTGGTTTCAGGAGTAGAATTCAGTGATTCATCACTTCTATGCAACACCCAGTGTTCAGCACGATAAGTGCCCTCCTTAATACCAATCACCATCTAGCCCATTCCCCATCTACCTCCCGCCATCAACTCCCAGTTTGTTCTCTATCTTTAAGAGTCTCTTATGGTTTGTTTCCCCCTCTTATTTCCCTCCTCCCATATGTTCATCTCTATTGTTTCTTAAATTCCACATATGAGTGAAATCATATGGTATTTGTCTTTCTCTCACTGACTTATTTCGCTTAACATAATACACCATAGCTCCATCCATGTTGTTGCAAATGGCAAGATTTCATTCTTTTTGATGGCTGAGTAATATTCCATTGTGTATATGTACCATATCTTTTTTATCCATTCATCGGTCAATGAATATTTAGGCTTTCTCCATAGTTTGGCTATTGTTGATAATGCTGTTATGAACATTGGGGTCCATGTACCCCTTTGAATCTGTATTGTTTTATCCTTTGGGTAAATACTTAGAAGTACAATTGCTGGATCATAGGGTAGTTCTATTTTTAACTCTTTGAGGAACCTCCATACTGTTTTCCAGAGTGGCTGCACCAGTTTGCATTTTTAACCAACAGTGCAAGAGGGTTCCCCATTTCTCCACATCCTTGCCAAATCTGTTGTTTCCTGTGTTGTTAATTTTAGCCATTCTGACAAGTATGAGGTAGTATCTCATCGTGGTTTTGATTTGTATTTCCCTAATGAAGAATGATGTTGAGCATCTTTTCATGTATCTTTTAGCTATCTGGATGTCCTTGTTGGAAAAGTGTCTATTTGTGTCTTCTGCCCATTTCTTAACTGGATTATTTTTTGGGTGTTGAGTTTGATGAGTTCTTTATAAATTTTAGATACTAACCCTTTATCAGGTATGTCATTTGCAAATATCTTCCCCCATTCCATAGGCTGCCTTTCAGTTTTGTTGATTGTTTCCTTTGCTGTGCAGAAGCTTTTTATCTTGATGAAGTCCCAATAGTTCATTTTTGCTTTTGTTTCCCTTGCCTCTGGCAACATATCTAGTAAGAAGTTGCTATGGCTGAGGTCAAAAAGGTTGCTAGCTACCTGTGTTCTCCTTTACGATTTTGATGGTTTCCTGTCTCACATTTAGGTGTTTCATCCATTTTGAATTTATTTTTGCATATAGTATAAGAAAGTGGTCCAGTTTTGTTCTTCTGTATGTTGCCGTCCAGTTTTCCCAACACCATTTGTTGAAGAGACTGTCTTTTTTCCACTGGGTAATTCTTTCCTGCAAAGCATGGAATTCTTTCATAACTCTCTGATACAATTTGCCTTTAGGACCTAATATCCCACTTATGGGTCCATTTTTTGAATGACCCTAGATAGCATATCTATCTTATTTTAGCATAAAATCTAACTTCTGTGAATTCTAACTACTGTCCCAAGTTCTGCCCTAATGAACAATTCAGATAACTATATTTTCTATTCTTTTAGGTGGAACCATATGGAATTGTCAATATTGAGCCTTTTTTGACCTATACAAATGGTGATCTTATGTGTTTCCACCTAAGACATAGCAGCTCATTAAATATGTGAAGGCAGGGACCATATAGCCACCATCCCCCATTACCAAACTTATATACATACCCTTTCCAAAAACCTTAGCAGTTCCTCTCTTCCTCAAACTAAGAGTCAACATTCTTTGACTCTTCATCATTATTAACATAAGAAATTTTTCAAACCCTTTACCATGTTGGTTGAGTGACTCTAACAATTAGGTTTATTAATTTTCCTCTTACAGTTTGACATTCTTTATTGAAAAGAGTGCTCCACATGTTGACTAAGGAATCCTTTTGATAATGTCCCACTTTCCATTTTTTAACCTATTCTCTCCCGTTATTTTTTTGGTTCAAAATATAACCTCTTCTATGGAGAATCCTAGTTCTTTCCACTTCTGCGATCTGAGAGGCATTCTTTCAATGAGCTCTCAGAAACCTCTTCGATATAGTGAGCAATGAACTCAGTACTATCAGTATAATGATTATAGTGGGGAGTTCTGTGAGGCTTATGCATAACATCAAAAAGCAAATCAGTAAAAGAAAATTCTATTACAGACCATGGTCTAAATCTGTAATTTTCTGATGATTTCCACAGAGAAAAAAATAACATTGATCTAACGTAGAGCACTAGATTTCTAAAATTTTTATCTGCTACACATTTCCATCAACAAGTTTTCTATGGAAGTCCAACATGAAAAAACCCTACCTAACGTGGAGCTGTTCTCTCCACTTGAGCTCTATATTAACCCCACTCTGTTGGCCTGACCACTCCCCACCTCCCCCACCACACACACACAGGAAAAAAAAGACCAAAACAAAACCCAATAAATCTGAATTTTCAGCAGCTTAACTGAATCAAAGTTTATTTGTTGTGCCTATAAAATCCAGCCTTGGTCAGGGTACCCTCTCCTATCTGTAAACTCTGGTCTTCCTAACACAAAACCTTGAGGTACACAAGGCAGAAGAAGAGAGAACATAAGAATGAGGCAGGGACTTTTTCTGACCTCAGCCCCAAGGTGGCACATGTCACTTCAACTCATGTCACTTAGACATTTTTACATGATCCCAACATAACTGGAAGTCCCTGAAATATCTGGAAGTGCATGAATATTTGCTGAGCATGAAATGTATGTTATAGACTCTCTTCTGCTTTCTCAGATGCCTCTTGACTCTTCTCCATGGGAACTCCTAATACTCTACATAGCATGATATAAAAGCACTGATCTCAGGGGGATGATGTCCCTAAGCTTCAAGCAATTCTTCATGAAATATTATTCTCCAATACCAAACTTTCCATAAAAAATCAGCTGTAAAGAATCCAATGTTTTATTTTCTGAAAGGGATTGAAATACAAAGATTTTGTGTATCAACAAAATGACAGTTGTATGCCTTGGATAAACTGCCTAGTGTGAGGTAAGGATGATGTCCTTTTTTAAAAAAAAATTGCATCTCTCAAGGATATGACTGAATGGAGAACAGACTCAGGAAGTATGAACATACCCAAGATTTCCCTCTAAAATATTTCTGGGTCTTCAAAAAAAGTGAAAAGATTTCTGGGTCTTCTCTAATGAGGGGGTGTGTCCAGAAAATTTAAGACCTCAAGAGCAAAGATAGTGCCCTGTTCAGCTTTTGCTCCTTCAAATACTGTCCTGAATTTGACACCTGCTGGGTTTTAAATTAAGTTTGGTTGACATGAAACAAAATCTTCAGCTGCCTGGTAGAAAGTTCCCACGGTCCTTTTCTTCTGAATCTTATTCTCCCTTCGACATTTCCAATTTTTATTACAGATACCACAGTCATTTGGGCTTAACATTTTGGAGTTTCTATTGGGTCTTGCATATTCTTTTGTCTTTCAAATAATCATATGCCAAGGATTGTTGCCTCTGATTGATGTCTTTCTCTCAATTTTATTTCTGCAAATTAAGTCATTCACATATTAACTCACAAGGGAACTATTATAATGGCCTCCTAGCATCCAAACTCTCATCTTCCAATTGATAGTTCTGCCAGAATTGTGTCCTCTTAAAGCAGACTTTAGATCACATTTCTCTAAGTAGGTTCCCATAACACCCATCTACTAAGATGCTGCATGCAGGGAAATAGATAATAGAAGAGTGTGTTTAGTAAATAACTTTATAAAATCTAGGTTAAATAAAGTTGAATAGAGTTTGCTTTTTGCTATTGCTATGTTAATATATATTAGAAATTTCTAAAAAAGCTTTGCAAATGCAAAATTTCTCTAACATATTAAACAAAAGAATCTTTTCTAAGAGGTATTCTTTCAGAATTACCATTGACCAAACTTTCAGGGATTCCTCATTATTGTTGGAATCATATTTAGACTTAGAGGACTTTTCTAGTCTGTTCTCGCATCATTTCTTCACAGGTACTTTTTGGTCAGACCTGTTTGCATTAATCAATTTGTGAATTCTTCTATTCCATGTCTTGGATCTTACTGTTGGTTTTACGTGGTATCTCTTGCAACCCACTTCACAGTGTCTCTTTTGAAAATCTGAAACTCATTTATCATGAATAAGTCCTCCTCTTCTCTGCTGAGATTTACTGAAATTTCCTGGTCCTTACATATCATAGTCAGAAGTAATCTCTACACAGAGGGTTTCCATGTAAGGATGGAAGAGTTCTCCTTCAGTGGAATATTTACTATGTACCCAACAAATTACTAGGTATTTACATGTACTATTTTATGTAATCATCTCATCTATTCAATAAAGAAATATTAATCAACCCACTGTATAGATTGAAAAGTACTAAGACATATGCAGTTAATGTCATATATGCAGATTTTCTCAACTATTACCTAGGGAAGCTGCAATTTAAAGAAAACATAAATACCTCCAAAACTTCCTTGAGTTGCCTACACTATATTCCATATAATTTTGTTTTTATTTCTTTTGTAACGTTTAATGTGCTCTACCATGTATCACAGTAATTTGTAGCTAGAAGTCATTCCCATTATACAGCAAGCTACAAGAAAACAGACACTGTATCCCATTAGATGTATAACTATAATTGCATATTATATAGCTGGATACATATTAATTGGAATTTGATCAATTTGGTTATGTTAGCTGCCCTTATGATGTTTTGTTTGCTTCTGAATGATGTACCATATTTTTTAATTCAAGTTCATGTTAAAGTATCTCTGGGAATCAGATTATATTGTATCACCTGTTGTATATATGTCCTCCCAAATGCCTGTACTGGGCTTCCCATGGACTCTCTTCTTGACACTCTTGCTCTTAGATAAGCTTCAGGATTTCAAGTTTATGAAGGAATTTACTTTAAAAATAACAAAAAACACTTCATAGCCTATGGCAATATACCAAAAAGTAGGAGATTTTCTAAGTCTGTACCAAGTGGACAAAATCAGACAGAGGTTATAAGAAAGGTCAACAGTAATCCAGAGGCAGAACTTTAAAAAGTTAATTGAAAGCATTTTTACATGTACCTTGCTCTGGGAGCAGAAGTTAAGTACCATAAAGAATGGGTTAGGTATCAAGAAAGTCTCAAAAATTCTTTCTTTTGTAGGCTCAGGCATGACCCTGAGCAGTTATGCATTGCAGATTGCTCTCTAAATTATCATCTTGAGAATAATGTTTGCTTTTAAATACGTATTTTAATGTAACTGTATTCTGTGACTGATGTTGGCTGCCTCATAGTCACTGAAAATAGGAGTGCTTCATTTTTATCTTAAAAACTGGGTGTCAAAAAAAAAAAAAAAACCACACAAAAAAACTGGGTGTCTTCCAGGGTCAAACTTGGGATGTAAGTCTTATCTCAAAACAGACTAGATGGCAGCTGAAGAATTTATACTGACTCCTGGGCAAGCAATACTCTCTTTTTGGTCCATAAACATACGGGTGTCTAGAAGTGATTTAGATCATTAAGTAGGTGCTTGATCCTACTCACTCATCAGGAAAAATAAAGATCAAATGTTGAGAGTCCCCATATTCTCTGGAGAGGCAAATGCAACCCAGATGTTCTCAACTCCTACAAGTTTTGGGATCATACCTCACTTCAAGCTAATGGGGCAGTATTCCAAAACCCACCACTGTTGACCACAGATCTGTCAGGTTCTTGCCTTCAAACAATTTATGGAAATTTTGAGAAATGTATCAGTGGGTTAAATTCTGTTCTTATAGCTTTTGACTTGTCACAGTGTTCTTGGCAATACAAGAGTGCTTCATTCTGTAGGTCAACTTTCGCCATCTTATATCAGACTTTTTTAGAATGTTACTGTCTTTGTGTCTTTGTCCCAAGTAAAACCGTGGGCTTTTCTCTTAGTTCCTCAGAGCAGATTTAATTTCAGGCTCTAATATTGTTATTATGTTCTCCGGGGTTTAACTATACCCACAGGAATGCATTAGATGATGTCTTCCAATTCCCATTCCCAAGAATAAAAGTATTTTCTATCACTCCCATCTAACATCATCTTCTTCTGTAGCTACAATAACCTGTACAAAAGCAATTTTAAGCATCAAAATAATAGTTACCTTTTCTGTTATTAGCCAGAGAGGCTTATCACCTCCCTGTCTCAAACCTTTTTATTTTAGATTTAGATAGTTCTTTTTTTTTTTTTTTAAAGATTTTATTTATTTATTTGAGACAGAGAGAATGAGAGAGAGAGAGCCCATGAGAGGGGGGAGGGTCAGAGGGAGAAGCAGACTCCCTGCTGAGCAGGGAGCCCGATGCGGGACTCGATCCCGGGACTCCAGGATCATGACCTGAGCCGAAGGCAGTCGCTCAACCGACTGAGCCACCCAGGCGCCCTAGATTTAGATAGTTCTTTACTCTTCTTTATTCATAAGTCTCATTAATGTGTGTTTTTCCCAAAGAAACAAATTGTCACTTCTCTCCATCAGGTTCATTCATTTGTTCAAGGAAACAATATGTTGAACTCCTCTTCAGTGTAGGAGGAATGATGAATATGAATCAAGTGATAACATGTATGATTACAACTCGGTTATATATTATGAAGGAAGGGGATGTGGTACTGTACGACTACCTAACTAACCG